ACTGAAGCCCGCGTGCGTAGAGCCCATGCTCCGCAACAAGACAAGCCACCACAATGAGAAGCCCACGCACCATGACTAGAGAAAGCCCGTGTGCAGCAACGAAGACCCAACACAGCCAAAAATAGATAAATAAATTTATTTTAAAAAAAAAAGAATTTCAAGACAGTGGCAATATCAGAGCGTTAAACCAAGCCCAAGATTCCTCTGAGCACAGAGCCTGTGTGACTGCACAGGGCACACTCCCATGATGCCAGCTCTGGTGCAAGAGCCCCCAGATCAATCCCATATATCTAATGTTTTAGAGGCTATTCTGATTTAATTCTCAGCCCTCCCTTCTTGGGAAGTGGGACCTCTTCTAGCTCTTTACATAAGCCCTTAATTAGCCCCCAGTCTCTTTTGAAGAACTTTCCTTTTGGGAGCTTTGTAAAATTGTTATGCCTATTCTGTTTGTTTTTTTTTTTTCTTTTTTTGCAGTACGCGGGCCTCTCACTGTTGTGGCCTCTCCCGTTGCAGAGCACAGGCTCCGGACGCGCAGGCTTACCGGCCATGGCTCACGGGCCCAGCCACTCCACGGCATGTGCAATCTTCCCGGACTGGGGCACAAACCCGTGTCCCCTGCATCGGCAGGCGGACTCTCAACCACTGCGCCACCAGGGAAGCCCATGCCTATTCTTTTACTGTTGACATACGTCATGTGAAAAAGCTTGCTCTCTCCCTCTCTCCTCAGCAATAGGGAAAATCTACGTGGATCTGATAACGAGCAGTTTCTATCCTTGTTTTCCAGATACTGAGGGCCGTAATCCCTAACTCTAAACACTAGCAGCTCTTAAGCTCAAGGGGAAAGCAGGGTCAGAGTGGGAAGAGAAGCAGGTAGGAAAATTTTCGGGGTCCAGAGACTAAAAGCAATTAAGTGCAGCTAATGCAGGGGGTCAGGCCGAGGGCAGGTTTGGGAAGAGGCTCTGCAGAAGGGGAAGAAGGTCAAGGGTGGTCCAGAGCTGACTGATAACCCCTCTGACATTCAGGGGCCTGTGACAGCCACTGCAACACCTGAAGCCATGGCCCGTGAGGAGGATGAGCAGAGGAATTGTGTGTGTGCAGGAACTGAGCCACAGGCTATCCCTTCCAGGCCCTGACTTCTGAGGACTGCAAGGGTTTCTTCAGGTGAGAACCTCCTCCCCAGCAGAAACGCCCTCCCAAACTGCCTGCCAGGCAGCCTTTAAGCCCTGGCACATGCCCAAGCTTGTCCAGTTACATCACTCCTGCATCTTGAAGCCTGACTACCCTGTGGCTAGCACGCTGCAAACTGCCAACCTCAACACTTGTATAAACATGAGGCAAAATAACAGAGGGAAGGCTGAGTGCTTGTCCTATGGACACAACCCCTTGGTCAAGGGTGCTCACTACCTGCAAAGCACCAAACTAGTACAGCACCAACTAGGCTCTCCTGACTGATTCTGTGCCCCCCTGGAAATGCTTGAGATGCGTTGTATCCTCTCTACCCCTAGGGACCTCTGGGCACAGCTCAGAGTAGCCCATGTCACCACAGATTTTGTTTGTTTTTTGTTTTTGGCCACTTGCCTTGCGGGATCTTAGTTCCCCAACCAGGGATTGAACCCCAGGCCCTCGGCGGTGAAAGCGCATAGTCCTAACTGAAACGGTGCACCTCAGATTGGGACTCGAACCCAGCCTAGACCCAGATCGGGACTTGAACCCTCTCGGCCAGGACTCGAACCCGGCCAAAACCTACGGTCTTCCAACTGAGATCACATACCTGGTTTCAGGACTTAATGACGCTCAGGTTCTTGATGTCTCATCACAGAAAGAATTCAGTGAGAGACAAAGCGATAGGTAAGAAATGGATTTATTTAGAGAGAAACGCACTCCCCAGACAGAGTGTGGGCCACCTCAGAAGGTGAGAAAAGGCACCAGGGTCTGGGGTTGTCAGTTTTTATAGGGGTGGGTATTTTCATATGCTAATGAGTGGGAGGAGTATTCAAGCTATTTCTGGAAGGGGCGGAGATTTCCAGGAATTGAGCCACCGCCCACTTTTTGATCCCAGGTGGGCCTGGGAACTGTCATGGCGCCTATGAGTGTGTCATTTAGCTTGCTGATGTGTTACAGTGAGCGTATACTGAGGCTCAAGGTCTAGTGGAACTCGACTTGTCTGCCGTCTTGGACCCATTTGGTTCTAATCAGTTTATGTCATGTCCTTGGGCTATGTCATTCTTTCAAAGGTTGTGCCCTGCCCCCTTCCCTCCTGTTTCATAACCACTGGACTGCCAGGGAATTCTCACCATAGTTTCTTTCTTTTTTTTTTTTTTTTTTTTGTACGTGGGCCTCTCACTGTTGTGGCCTCTCCCGTTGCGGAGCACAGGCTCCGGACGCACAGGCTCAGCAGCCATGGCTCACGGGCCCAGCCGCTCCGCGGCATGTGGGATCTTCTCGGACCGGGGCACAAACCCGTGTCGCCTGCATCGGCAGGCGGACTCTCAACCACTGCGCCACCAGGGAAGCCCCATAGTTTCTTTTTGACCATTTCATTTCAGCCCCTCACATACCTACCTGCTCGCTGCCATCCCCAACCCTCACAATGTCTCTGTCCTCTCAGGCGAACAGTCAGCAAAAGCACCGGTCTCACGTGCCCCTTTGCTGGAAGCTGGAAGGTCAACAAGGCCCAGCCTGCAGGTTGCAGAAGTGCCTAGATGCTGGCATGAAGAAGGACAGTGAGTTGGCCCCTTTCCATCCCGAGAATCCACTATGTTCCTCCACTGACTATGCTTTGCCCTTGTTCCCACAGCGTATTCTCCACAGGGCAGGCAGAGTAAGCTTTGTGAAACAACTCAGACAATGTCACTATTCTGCTCAAAACCTCCAAGGGCTCCTCCTCTCTCTTATGGTCCATGATCTCATGGGCCAGCTCCTCCATACCACCTCTCAGATTTCACTTCCGACTCTTCCCCTTGCTCAACCCATCCCAGCCACACTGACGTCAATGCCATTCTCAAACACACCAAGCACACTCTTCTCAAGACTGTTGTAACTTGTACTTGCACTTGCCATTGCCTCTACCTGGAATGCTCTTCCCCTAGATATTTATATGGCTTGCTTTTACTCTTCCATCTCTCAAATATAGTGCCTGTCACTTAGTAGGTACTTGATAATTGTTGAATTATTTAATGTTTTTTTTCTCTGTGCCAGGCAATAAGGCTCTGCCCCCAAAAGATAATGTAACTCATATTCAACTTAAAGTAACAGAAATCAACTTGTCCAAGTCCACTCGGCTGAAAAGTTGTAGAGTCAGTATTCACCAGACCCTTGCTTTCTCCATGACGTCACACTGCTTTTCAATATGGAGCAGTGGAAAGGAAACTGTAGAAGTCAAAAAATCTTGAATTCAGTCTACATCACGTTAAGTATTTTGTGACCTTGGACCTGTCACTGGAATGTCAGTCTGTTTCTGAAAAATATGGATAATAACACCTGCCCTCTCCACCCACAGGATTGTTTCATTCAGTGAGACTTAACCTCAGAAGCCTTGAAATTATAAAGCTATGCAAACATAAGGTGATGTTTTTGGTATCACAAGCCCTCCCTCTTCAGTGCTCCCCCAGAAGTCAAACATCTCCTTATACTATTCCCACTTTATTGTCCATCCTTTTTTTACTTCCCACAGTGCATTGTTTTTTGCTGCAGTGCCTCACAGGTCAGGGAAAGTGTACAGGAATCCCCTACCACCTGGAGCCCCTGTGACTTCAGCCAAGCCCAAGGAGGCCTCAAGAACTCTCCTCCCTCCCCGCGTCCTTCATTACGCAGTGTCCGAGGGCCCCAGACCAGGGGCTGACAGAGAAAGGTGCTCTCTGCTAGTCTCAATAGTTTTGTCACATCCCTTCCCCAGGCACAATGATCCCATCGGCAGAAGCCCGGGCGTTGCGGTAAGCAAGACAGGCCCAGCGGCGGGCACAGCAAGCATCGATGCAGCTGAGGAGAAAGAGCTAGTCCAGACACTGCTGGGGGCCCAAACTCGCCACATGGGCACCATGTTTGACCAGTTTGTGCAGTTCAGGGTGAGCATTTACAGGATTCAAGCTGAAATATTACCAAAAGGGTGCCCAAGGAGGCTGGCCTCAGGGAGGGGGCTGTGTGCCACACACCAATAGAGGACAGGACTTCTCCAGAACCCCAGCCGAGGCAGACTCCTTAGCCCGGAACCCTTCCAAGATAAAGCTGGAGAGGCCTAAAAGAGATCCCTAGGACCGGGGCTTCTCACCCAGGCTCTGATCTCTGCAGCCTCCAGCTCATCTGTTCATCCATCACCAGCGCTGTCCACCCAGTTCCCTGTACTGCCTCTGCTCACACATTTCGCAGACATCAACACTTTCATGGTACAGCAAATCATCAGGCTCACCAAGGACCTGCCCCTTTCGGTATGTGACCTCCCTTTACCTTTCAGGAAGAAAATACTCCAGTAAATTATAATCCCACCCTCACCACCACCCCCGCCCCAAAAAAAGGTCACTAACCAAACTAACCCATCCCTCAGCCTTTTCAAGTAGCAGGTCTTGAATTCCCAGCTTTTTTAAGTGTCTCAATCAGAACTGGGAGTTCCTCTCCCTCTCTGAAGTTCAGGCTAGAGTCTAAAGAGCAGGTTTCCTGCTCTGGCCCATGGAGGACCAGATCTCCCTTCTCAAGGAAGCAGCTGTAGAAATGTCACATTGCACTCAATGCCACTTTCTGTCTCCAAACACAAAACTTCCTCTGCGGGCTTCTTCGCTACACAGAAGATGGAGTGCATGGTGAGATGGTGCTAGAACAGTAGAGGACATGCATCCCTTCAGTATGGTATGTGGCGAGGTGACCTGAAGGCTCCTAAGCCTGGTGGTGCAGTGGTTAGGAATCCGCCTGCCAATGCAGGGGACACGTGTTCAAGCCCTGGTCCGGGAAGATCCCACATGCCGCGGAGCAACTCAGCCCGTGCACCACAACTACTGAGCCTGTGCTCTAGAGCCCGAGAGCCACAACTACGAAGTCCGTGTGACACAACTACTGAAGCCCGTGTGCCTGGAACCCACAGTGGGGCTCCAGGAAGAGTTTTTGGAGTTCTCTTCGGCTTCCATAGGACACTGCGCCAACTGCAGCTCCAGGAGCCTGGAGTGTGTGTTCATGGCTGCCATGGCCCTCTTCTCTCCTGGGAAGCATCCCTCAAAGCCCAGAAGCTTTTGTTCCACCACCTCTGCCCAAACTCCCAGCTCCCTGAATCCATCCATCCAGGCCTTTTAGTCTTCAAACCTGTGGAATGGGTCTATCCCAGTCTTGGCTCCCCAGGGCACCATGCAGGCCACCCGCAACCTCCCACCTTGTCCTTCCCCACTCCCTATCTTACAGACCGGCCTGGGATAACCCAGAGAGAGGGGACTGATCAGTTGCAAGAGGAGATAGCGCTGACTCTGCAGAGCTATATCAAAGGCCAGCAGCAAAATCCCCGGGACCGGTACAGTGGGACTGGACACGTGGAGGCTGCGCCAGGGTGGAAAGGAGTTAGGGAGACACTGAACTCAGGATGAGTGCTTTTACTGTCCTTTCCTTTGGGAAACCAGGGCCCCTGGGGGTCTAGTCCTTCCCTCCCACCTCATAGAGTTCCGGCATTCAAATTGCTCCTACTGCTGTTTCATCTCACTTTTCCCAGATTTTTTTTATTCAGGAGAGATGCAAAGTAGTAGCTCACAGGCTCGGTATAATAGCATTCCTGAGATTGATGACATCCATCACCTCACCAATCCAACTCCTCCAGACTAAAACAGACTTTCAAGAATCTTGTTCACTCTCTTTCCTTGGCCCTTCCCCTCCTTCTCCATTGGTCCAATTCCTTTAATTTTTCATTCCCCTTGAAGTTATGGTCATTCAGTTTCATGGCCAACGCCAGCCCCTGGTTCAACAGTCCATGATCTAACCAGGCTCTGAAGTACACTCCACTTCTGTTTTGCTTATTCCTCAATGTGCCAGTTTGGCCAGAAGAGGGTTGCTTTATACCATAGAACACACCCACCTTCTAGAACCTGCTCTAGAAGGCCAGATCCTCGGATTCCACACAGCTGAATATCTGGCAAAGTCTGGGGCTTTCTTCACACTTGGCCCTCTGAGCTCTGGGTTCAAGGAAAACGTCATGGTGAGAGAAGTCAGTGTCAGATAGAGGCCCCACTGGGGACCTTTGGAGTTTTTGACACATTTGTCACATCAGAGCATATTTTCCCTAATGTTCAGACCTAGCTTCACAGAGAGGCAGTTTAGGGGGTCAGGGCCTCAGGACAAGACTCTCAGCTGCCTATCTCTCTTCTCCTTCCCTGGTGACCCCAAAGGTTTCTATATGCGAAGCTGCTGGGCCGGTTGGCTGATCTCCGAAGCATTAACAATGCATGTTGGTACCAAATCGAGAACATCCAGGGGACTGTCCACCATGGTGCCACTGCTCCAGGAGACCTGCAGCTGAGGCCCAGTTCGCCTCCTTCCCCAGACCACCTGGACATGCTGGACTGGAAAGGGGAAAATGCTCGGACCAGAGGCTGGAGCCAGTAAACAGGGAGCCCACTGGTTGCAGTGAATGATCAAAGCAATGTCTGCCTCTTCATGCGGTAATGGGGAGAATGAGGGGTGGCCATGGGGACAAAGTTGTTCTCTGGAAGCACAGATGATGGGGAAGGAGGAAGCCTCAGGGCTAAGAGGTAAAGAAGCTCCGTCTGGGAATAGGTGGGCCCCACTTTCTGGGGTCAAAGATTTAGCCCTTCAGCCCTTCTTTCCCAGCCTTGGGAAACTCTGGGATGGAAAACAGGATGGGAGCTAATGCCATGCAGATTTTTCTGCTCTGAAGAGGAAGAGGCTAGGAGCTTTAATCCATAAGGAAATGAAGGAGGTGGGAGTGAGGGGAGAAAATGCAGCCAGACAGACCCCTTAATTCTTCTCCCTTAGTCCAGAGCCATAAGAGTATGGGAAGATGAAACTGGGGCTGATGGCAGAGGTGGGAGCCTCAAACCACTGCCTCAGCTGCTGCCTCTGCGGCAGCCCCAGTTCTGAGGAGGGCATGTACTGTGCCCACTCTGCTCCTGGGACCTAGAGGTCACCCAGCAAGGTGGGCTCTTGAGAGGGGCCTAGTTCCTGGCCCCAGGGCACCTGACTCAGAGGTTCCAGCTGTTATGGGGGCTGGCTCTGGGACAACCTCAGCCCACAGTGATGCTGAAGCCACAGTGGAATCTGTTGCGCCAGTGATTAAGGAAGGCTCCAAGGGCGAGGGTGACGGGCAGGGGGGGCATCTTCTTCTCCAGCACAGCACCCACACACCAGTTACTATCCACCAAGCCTGTTGGGGAAGAGAATATACACTAGGTTTTCTAACAGGGCTCGCAGAAAGGGGCCAGCAGAGGAAGGCAGAGCTTCCCTCCCACTGTCCCCCACCCCAATCCCTCAGCACCTCCGAATGTCATCTGAATAACCCTCACCTCTAAATACCATGTTGGCCTGGGGCAGAGTCAGGTGGTAACCAAAAGAGAAAGTTGTGTCTTGTAGCCTCGTATTTGCCTCAAACTCCACTCCAACCTGAACCTGAGAACCATGGGCAAGGATGGGAGAGGGATCTGTCTCAGTGAAGACTAGAGGAGTCCTGACAGGGGATCAGCAGAATGGAGGTGCGCATGAAACGTATATGTAGCGAGGGTAGGAAGAATAGTGGGTCAGCAGGGCCTGTGGAGGTTGGGAGGGACTCGTTGCGGCAGGGGATGGGATCAGTAGACTCACCTGTTCATTTGCCTTGTGGTAATAACTTGCATGGGCCCCACCTGATCCCACATTCAAGGTAGCTACCCAGTGTACAGCTGTCAAAACCAAAGTACAACAAAAACACACGCACACACACACACAAAAAAACCAAAGTACAAGTGAAAAGGAGCGTTACTGTAATAGAACACAGGCCAGGACCCCAGCCAAGTCCAGAATTTCCCTCCCTGTCACTATTCCTCCTCACCCCATACCCGAGTACTTCCCAGCCAGTGTCAAAATGGCCCCCTCTTCGCCTGGCCGCCGGTGATAAACTAGCTCTCCTCCCAACACCAGCCGATGAGTGAGGCTCTGCAGGAAGTGAGCAACCATGATCACTGTGGGGTGGGGAGACATGGAGTCACTCACAGAGACAGGCCCTCTACCTCACCCCCAGCAGCCCCCCACCCCAGCCTGCCCCAGAAAGTTTCTTTTCTAATCCCTGAACTGTACAGACCATGAAGAGGCATACCCAGCATTAGCAAGTGGGCAGCCAAGACAAAAAGAACCCTGTACCAATTCCTCACCCGATTCCCCAATCAGGTCAGGATTTCCTAGGGTCAGAGTGGCTGTGTAGTCATCTCCCCGATACTCGCCATCAAACTGCCACGTCAGGAACTTGGCCTGCTGCGTCTGGGTAGGGAGAGGGAGAAGTAAAATCTCCCTCCCTCTTTATGATCACTGTTGCCTCTGCTCCTCTCCCTGAGCCCCCAGAGCAGGACACTCATGGGGCAGAAAGAGGAAATGCTTCAGTAGATGAAGGCAGGAACCATGGGTCACCTGGAAGACAGCCTTGGCTCGGAGCCGCTCTGCCAAGAGGAGCAGGACCTGGGCGTTGAGGCTGCCACTGCTGTCCATGTCCCCGACCACAGTGGGGAACATCTGTTGAAGAGTGTCCAGAGTAAGACTGAGCTGGGTGGCACCACTCAGTCTAAATCCAAATGTAGGATTTCTTTAACGGTACCCGGCGCCCCCTAGTGGAGCCACAAAGACAAACTCCCAGCTCATCACAAATGTTTCCCCACCCTCTCCCAAGAAACACAGAGGAGGTGCCCTGCCCATTCTTCCTCATAACACACACATTTCCTCCTCCTCTACACCTGGGTCCTAGCTGGGCTTTTAGGGAGATAACCCAGGTGTGTGGAGCCCTCACCTCAGTTGGGCTAAGTTGCCAGTCCCCTGCATAGGCCGCATGGAGGTGATAGCCCGGCAAGCCCAGAGCACTCATGTGCACAGTGTGAGCCACCTAAGGAAAGAGAAGTTAATGGAGGAGAGAGCATCTCTGCTCTATTTCAATCCCCCATCCAACCCTTCATCTTGTCCCCATCCAGCAGGTCTTTTAGGAAACCCAAACATTACAACATATACAGAGGGTCACCAGATTAAAAGCAACGAGTCCCACAGGGAAAGGAAGTAAAGAGAGCCCCCATATTCTCTCTCTTTTGTCCCATATAGCCCGGCTAAGGCTGGAGCACAAAGGAAAGGAGAAGAGGATCCAGAGACAGGCAGGGAGGAATTGAAAGGAGGGGCCAGAAAAGTGGGAGCACCTGGAAATGGCTGCTCAGAACCTTGTTGACAACGAGCTTCACTCCCTCCATCTGTGCTGGGAATACATCTGAAGTGGGTGGAGGGGAGGGGAAGGGAAGGAATAAGCACAGGCAAGGAACCCCTACCCCATGAAGTAGTCTCCCCTTTCAATCCCATAGAAACTGCTTTGGAGGAATTGACCTCCTTTCAAGTCCTGTAACAGGAAGTGCTCCGCTGCACTGAGCACCTGATCCTCCCTGAGGCTGCCCGCCCCAGCTGTGATCTCCCCTTTTCTGCTCCCATCACTGGACACCCACCATTCAAGACCCTCCCCTTCTCTGCCCCTTCAACTTGAGACACCTAGATGCCAAGTTCTCACCTTTGCATAGCCGGTGCAGCTCATCGAAGCTCCCAGGGTTGGGGAGAGGTTCCTCTCGACGGGGGCTCCGGCGGGGCAAAGCCCCCATCGGTGCCAGGCCCAATGTGTTCCCCATTTCAATCCAGAGGTCAGGGGAGGGGCCGGGGTTCGCCTGGGAAAGGACGCTATTGCTCCCTCTACCCCGCACGGGCCCCACCCCCCATTATCCGGCTCCCCAGTCCCAGAAACTTCCACATGGTCCGACGCTAGACCTGGAACAGGAAAAGTGGGGGGAGAGGGCACCGGTGGGGAGCTTGAACCCCAGGCACACTCCCATCCCATCTTTAATCCCTCACCCCCACCTGTCATCCCTGTACCCTCCCCCACTCTCTAATCCTAGCCTCCACTACAGACCTCACCCAGCTTCCTAGCCTTTCTGGTCTTCGTTCCTATGCCTCAAGGTGAGGCTTGCAGTGGAGCAATAACCCTTACCGTCTCATTCCATCATGCTGCCCCTTTCCCCCAGGCACACCCCGGTCATCTTGATGGGGGCAGCCATCTTGAATGATGGCAGAACTGCGGCTTCACGTTGCATTCCCAGCGTAGTCATGAACACCATCTTGGAACCGGGCGAAAAAAAAAGGTTTCAGAGACCCAACCCTCCCTTGATTGGGCTCCGCCCAATCGATTAAAAAAAAAAAAAAAAAGGCTGCCTGGCTGTTGAGCATGGGCCAGTGGGAAAGGAGGACGCAAAGGAGTGGCGGACCTCTCATCATGAGAGCTCCAACCTGGCACTGCAGAGACAGACGGGACTTGTTGGTAGCTGCTTAAGACTTACTCAAGTAGATGGCCTTAGATCGCCCTGCCTTTCCAAGGTCGGGAAAAACCTTTGAGCGTGCAAGACACTAGAGGGAGCATCTTGGAGCTTGAGCCACTGAAGCTCCCTCCACCATATAGCCTAGAGACGCGTTTTGTGAAGGGTGGCGGAGAGAACGACTGTGAAAACTTCTTTCGAACACTGCTTCGGAACACCCCTAGGCGGCCCCCACCCTCCCAGGCCCTGGGGACTCCCCCTCACAGTCCTGAACAGTACACAGTACACCTCCAAATGAGTTCGACGCACAGGTACAGCTCTCCGTAGGCAAATGGACCTACACTTCCCTCCTGGAGGTCTGCACCTCTCAAAGTTGGCGCTCTTGTCGTCTTGGTAGAATGGGAATGGGTGTGAGAATTTGGGGTAGAAGAGCAGGGGCTGCAGCCTTAATTCTAGCAGAACTATTCCCTGAAACAATTGACCCCTGAAGTTAATCCTTCCTTCCCTGGTTCCTTAGGCAGAGTTGGCAAATAAAATCGAGGAATATGGACTCCTGCCCTCAATGCGCTCCACTCCAAAGCTACAGACAAGTCAATGGAGTGCCCTTCAAGAACTAAGTGCTCCACAAGGGAATAGTTGAAGATAGAATAAGATTTCTTAGGCTCTGGTCGCCTCCCCACTAGCTCTCACATCACCACTCCCATCTCCCAGGAATGCTTTACGTATACTTTGAGGGCAAAAGGATGAAAGATACAAATACTTCTGATATCTATTTAGCTGGTTTCACCCAAATACCTTGGGTCTGGGGAATGCACCTCTGCCTTCCCTCACAGTCAGGGCTGGGACAAGGGTCAGGGCCTTGGTCAGAGGGATGCTATGGCTCCTGCTGACTCATATTGGCTGACCACTGCCTAGAACCGGTAAGGTGATCAAATGCCCAGAGACCTTCAACCTTTATCCTTGGTAGAAGCCTCTCATTCACCTCTTTTCCTGCCAGAGCACTCCAATTCAGGGGGAGGGCGGTGGCTGCTTTCTGAATTTGTTTTATTGGGGGTGGGCTGTGCTCACTGATCGGCTCTAGTGTTTTCTCTCCCATCTCATTCATTACACATTAACTCAAAAAGGTACAGAGTCAATCACACCTGGCCTCTGGCCCTAACCTTTATTGTCCTAACCTGCATTCCCCTCACCCCGTCTCTGATTTTATGTCCTTTCTTCTGTTCCCCAATACCTCTCTGCCAAGTTGCAGTGATGGGGGATAGGGTTGGGAGATGAAATATACCCATAATGGGACAAAGATACCAAGGGCTGAGGGCTTGATATGTCAGAGCTTTCCAGAGAAAAAAAAACCTAGGAATCCTGCTTCCTGAAGCGTTCAAATCCAAGGACTACTGGGCCCAGGCCCCAAAGGAATGGATCTTAAATAAGCCTAAAGTATACCCCTTTGGCATCCATTAAGGCCTGCACCCCCTGCCTCCTACCCCATCACCATGAGTCCCCTATGTGCTGTCCTCTCCTCCCTCCATTTCTCTAACTTGTTTACTCCAGTATAGCTCCTGCCCCACTGGACTCCTCCAAAGTACTTGTCACCTGACAGGGGGGTGGGGAAGCATACAGATATATAGCCCCTGCCTCCCTAGCCAGGCCAGGCACAGACGGCAAGGACAGCAACGCTGACTAGGTAAAGTAAGGGAGTAAGAGGTGTGGGCAGCATCCAAAGATTTAACTGTAGAAAGGGAGGGAACCAGGTTGGCGTGGACATGTAGGTAGGGGTCTCTGGGGAGGGGCTGAAGCCCATTCGCTTCAGTGACCTTCCCTGCCCTCACCTGTTCGCAGGCCAGTTTCCCTTCCATTAACACCATGAAGCTGCTTCCAATGACTGTGTTGCTCCTTACCATCTGTAGCCTTGAAGGTGGGTGTGTTATGAAGAGGGGTCCCAAGGAGGAAAAGGTGCTTGGGTCCTAGCTGCCCATCTGTCTGTTCTCCTATGCCCAGGTCTGGCAACCAGAGAGCTTAAAAGAAAAATCATTCCCTCTCTAAAGCCCAGAAAGTGCATCCAAAGACCTGGAGCTGGATACCTGTTTGGGGAGAGAGCTGAGAGCTGAGGCTGAATACTGGCAGAGATGTGGGACTCATTATTGGGGACTCAGCTGAGGATGTGTGTGTGTGTGTGTGTGCGTGCGTGTGTGTGTTTCTGTGTATGTGCAGGGGCTTTGGTTCGGAGACAGGCAGAGCTGCCGAATCTGCAGAGCCTGTTCTCTCAGTACTTCCAGACTGCGACCGACTACGGCAAGGACCTGCTGGAGAAGGCCAAGGGCTCAGAGCTTCCAAACCAGGCCAAGTAAGTCTCAACAAAGGGGGTTCATGGACCAGGGGGCTATGGAGAGAAAGAGGGGAAGCTGGGAGGTCCTACAGAAGACTGAGCTAAGGGGTGGGGGTTAGGGAGCATGAGGTTTAAATTGTAGAGAAAATTCCTTCATCACCCCACAGATCCCATGGACCTCTTGGACAGATAGGGGTAGCAGGAACTGGGCTTTGAATTTCTATCTGTATGGTCTGTTCTATCTCTATCTCTGCCCAGCGGAGGGCTTGCCTCTCCCCCTAGGAGCTTTGCCATGCCAGGATAGACCAGGCACTAGGGTTTGGGGACTTGGGTCTCACCTCCCACTACCAAGAAGGCCCCTACCAGTCCCTCATCCTGACTTCTAATCCCTCACATATCCAGGGCCTACTTTGAGAAGGCACAGGAGCAGCTGACGCCCCTCGTCAAGAAGGCTGGAACTGATCTGATTAACTTCTTGGACAGTATTTTGGACCTCAAAACACAGCCTGTTGCCAAGTGCATTGCCTAGACTGTTGTCTTCCATCCCCAGCTGGCCCCTGGAACACCCACTGGCCAGGCCTAGAGCTCCTCTTCCTACCTACTCCTTGTTTTCTACGATAAATATTGAAGGAATCAAGTTGTGAGCCTGGTATGTTTTGGGGACTGGGAAAAGTAGGGGTAGTGGGGGAAGAGGAGGAGGGAGAACAAAGAGAAATCTGCTTCTAACAGGAGAGGGGTTTTGGTGTGAAGGGGTGGAGAAAGGATTGAAGAGACCAGTGATGGAAATGACAGAGTAGGGGTGCCTGTGACTCTTCTCCAAACCCCAGGGATTTTTCTACAGGCCTGGGAATGGCCCTGCAGGAGAAACTAAAGAGACTTTGCCGTGGACATGGTACCTTGAAAGGCATGAAAGATTCATGAACTGAATCCCTAGACTCCTGAAGGTCACGGGAAATGAGAGCACCCTTCAGAATTTCCTCTATCATACTATGAAGAGGAGAAAGCTTCCCCAAAATGAGTCCAAAGGTGTCACCCAAGGCCCCTCCCTTCCCTTCTGAGCCAGGGGAACACTGTGCTTTCCCCCATCCTGCGATAAAAAACTCCTCTCCCTGAAGGTGCTCTAATCCTTCCATTTGAAACCTCTCACCTAGACCCCCTGTCTGGGAACACCCATTCCAAGCCTGTCCCCCACTATTACCTGGGTGCTATTCATGGAACTGGCCCATGTTCTGGTAGCCATCTTAGAGCCTGGAGCTAGTAGACGTGGTAGCCAGTTAAAGGCCTAACAGGTCTCCAACTTGATGGACATGAGGGACTTGAGAAATTTTGGTAGCTGTGATACCTGGATTAAATCAAAATGGAATGGAGGTCAGGCTGGACTGATGCAGGAGACTTACAATCCCAAAATGGGAAAATGGGCATTTTCCAATAAAAGTTTACTTCCACTTTATATTTAAAAGAGTTACTTCTCTACCCTGACTCATTCGTCATATCTCATCTGAAATCACCTTTTCCCCAGACACCAGAGATAGCTCCAATTTCTTCTGTATATATATATATATTTTTTTTAATTTTATATTGGAGTTTTGTTGATTAACAGTGTTGTGTTTCAGGTGTACAGCAGAGCGATTCAGTTGTACATATACATGTATCTGTTCTATTTCAAATTCTTTTCCCATTTAGGTTATTACAGAGTATTGAACAGAGTTCCCTGTGCTATACAGTAGGTCCTTGTTGGTTATCTATTTTAACTATAGCAGTGTGTACATGTCAATCCCAAACTCCCAGTCTATCCCTCCCCCGCTCATCTGTATGCTGACCAGCCTCTTCAGTCTGGGCTTTAAGACCCTTACCACTCGTGACTACTTTCTTCCCCTTTCTTTCTCAGTGTCTATTTATTTTTTCCTCATGTGGCAAAATGTGCAGGGACACAGATCTGTCTGTCACTTGCAAGACGACATTGGACAGGTTAATTAACTTCAAAGAGCCTGAATTTCCTCACAGTTTTAATGAGTGGATCAAATGGTACGACAGGATGGAAAACACATTGAAAAGTGTAAGTCACCATGCAGTACAAAGTATTGCCCAGCATAGGGGGTTGCTAGGGGTAAGCCTGGAGACTCTGGACCCATTTGGACAGGGCTGGGATGGGATTCAGATACTACCAGGGAATCCTGCCTCGAAACAGGACAGGCACTGAGAAGGGGGATTCCTTCACCACTCACCCATGCAATTGGAGGACCTGGCCTCCCGTCTGGACCTGACTTGTTCCCCTTTGCCTTACCCTCCTCCAACCCAGACCTGGCTCCCTCAGGTCCCTCTTGCCCCAGAATCCACTGAAAACACGGTTCCCATAAAACCTTCCATTGGGAGCATCACACAAGCTTTAGTCGCACCATCCCTTCTGCATGTTTGGCTTTTCAGCTATGCTAATGCCCATATGCATGTATATTGCGAGCTGCGCTCACACTGCTCCCTGAAGCCCACTCTGATCTGGACTGGTGACTATTTGGGGTTGGATAGCCAGGCTTCTCCACAACCCAACCTCGTTTCCGTTGTCAGACACAGAGGGCCAAGCTGGGTGCGGAAGCCACTTCTTGGGTTCAAATGTCTCTGAATGTGCCTAGACCCCCAACACATTACTCCCTGCTCCAGCACCCTGCTAGAGAGCCTGGGGATCAAGGGTCTCATCCTTCCCCCAGTCACAGTCAGCATTCATCCCTCAATCAAGCAGAACAGCTCTGGTCTATTAGACTATGAGTTATGGAAGGTCAGGAACTAAATTTGCCTTGTGATATCTTCAGTATCCAGCCTAGGCTAGTAGAGGCTGAGTAAATGTATGTTAAATGAATGAATGAATAGAGTCCAGTCTGCGGTAACTTTATTGATGTTAGTGCCTTCCGTTTCCATCGTTTAGTGGGAGTTGGGGACGGGGAAACGGAGAAGGGTGGCATAAAGAGGTGAGACTAGAATATAAACATTAATGAAGAGCATCTGAGGTCTTTGACAGGGAGGAGGAACCACTGGTGTCTATTAATGGGGGGCATAGCATCATTACAGGGATAGAGTCAGCTGGCATTAACGGCGGGGAGGCATATGTGATGCCAGCTACGAGGGCTGGGAGGAGAGTGGAAGAAGGAAGTGACCAAGGGCATCTGTTCTAAAGTTATTGTGGCGGTTTCTCATGCTTCAGGGTCTCATAAGTCTCCTGGTTCCGGGTGCTCAGGCCCTGGAGGTGGAAGTCAGAGGACAGTCAGGAGCTTGAGCCCATCACAGGGCCTCCTACCCACCCCCAGAGGCCCTACCCCTTCCAAAGTTCACTCAAAAGCCCACCCTCTTCTGCTGACTTCCTGGGACTGGGGTTGGGAGGCAGGTTCACTCACCGTGTAAATGCCATCTGATTTCTGCAGAGGTAAAAGGGCAAGGCATTAGAGACCCACATCTCCAGGGCCCCTCAGCATCTTCTTCCCTATCCCGGGAGGTATGTGTCCAGGGGTGACTGGCCCCCTTGGGCTAGAGGGCACTCCCATGGATACTCTGGGGCATGAATGCACATTTGCCCATATGGCTACCAACACACATATACACACAACATACAACACTCTCATGTACGCCTTGTCACTCTACACTTGACTCTTCCTCGTCACCTGTTGAATATTTTGTGATTTGGCTAGGTGGCAGGGTGGGTAGGATGAGGTCGGAGGGGGACCTCTGAAGCTTACAGAGATCAGCACCTGAGTCCCATGCCCCCCAGAGACCGCAGATCCCAAGGCTAAAGCCCCAGAAGGGCTGAGAGACTGAAAAATTGTTGATACCCAGTTGAGGAAGGGTCCATACCTCATAGCTGGCTGTAGCTGCCTTTCGCACCTGCAGCTGGAGTAGGGGAAAGGCCATCAGTAAAGGTGAAGTTAGTGGCCCAACCCCACCTCCAAACGTTGTAGGGGAACCCCTTTTATTCCCTCTCTTTGGAGCCATGCTGCCACCACCCTCCCACTTCTCCTTCCAGCCCTCATCCCACGCTGCCCAGCCTTACCTTGAGTCGGCAGTAGAGCAGGGTGAGGATAATACCATATAAAAACAGGATCGCATCCAGGATATAGCAGAGTTGAGGCTCTCCCAGGGCCGCTGAGGGGACAGAGGGTACCCATGGGGTCAGGGGCAGCAGGAAAGATCTGGTGCTCAGAGGAGAGAAAGAAAGGGCTCTGGGAGGTAGGACGGGACTTGGAGGGGCACTGTCCCAGGGAAGAAACTTCATCTTCCTCTCTAGATTCCTATTTCTCTCACCTCTCCCTCTTCTTCCTCACCCTAGGCTAGGGGTAGGACAGGAAGTGTGAATAGTTCTGTTGTGATGGAACTTATAGGTTCTGAGAGTTGAGAGCTTCCCCCTCAGCCCCCAACCCTCTTTTTAGCACTGTGGGTTCTTCAGGCACCACTGAGCATTCCATAGCCCTCAAGGGACCCATCTGAGTTCACTGAGCCAAGACCAAAACCTCGGCCCAGGGGGGTCAAGTGAGTGGAGGCAGTGACAAATTTCAGCAAAGAAACCACAGGGGTGTCTCTGCTAAGTCCTGTGACCTGTTGCTAAGGGCTGGACAGGAAGGATGTGAGCTGAGGAAAGGAGGGAAGGCAATCACTCTATTATGGGTCATCTAGCCTCAGCCACATCACTTTCTGTCCACCCCCCCACCCAACTAAGACACTTAAATATGTAAAAACAAGGTGCCTGCTTTCCTTGGCCTTATAGATACCGATGGCTCTGCACATAAGGCTGAGCAAGTGTCTTAGCCCAGGCTCAAGGGAATGACCACAAGCTGTATGGATTCCGGCTCCGGGTACTCTGCCCTGTTACTCACCCTGGGCCACTGAGAGAGGAAGTCTCGTGCAAGGAAAAAAATCAAATAAAGTCTGAGCTCCAGCCTCTATCTGCTCTGACCCCTATCAGAGGGCTCATGGGCATGTGACATATGGGTGAAGTACGTTTTACTCTGTGACACTCTTTCACACACGGTATTACATAAGTCTCAAAACTACCCCGTGACGGAAACATCATCGCCATTTTGTAGATGATGAAACCAAGGCTCAGAAAAGCTAAGTAATTCATTTAGGGTCATAGCGTGAAGTGCCAGAGCTGGAATTGAAATTCAGGTTTTCTGCGTTCCAGGTTTGTGCCCTCTCTTTTATGCCTCAGTGTCCCTGCTCCCTCATCCCATGGCAGCAGACTGGCCGCTCACTTAGTCCTTCCATCTTCACAGCTGGGCTGGTGGCACTCCATCCCAGTCCATCCCTTTTAACTTCCCCACTTTCCCTTAAGTTTCACTAACCTCTTCCTCCCCGAACCCCAGCTGTAACTATCCCTCTTCAAAACACAGACAACGCAGACAGAGCGAGGAGAGTTTAGAGAACGCCTGGAGCCTCAGAGCTGCAGAGGACTTCCCATTTCTGCCTCCATTTCTCAGCTGACGTTCAGCTCTCTGGAACGGGGCATTGTACGCTGCCCCCACCCTCACATCAACTGTGCCTTAGTGATGACCCACAGAAGCCGCAATCACGTATTTGACTACCCTTGCCTCACTCCTAAACACAAGGACAGGCCCCTGCCTTCCTAAAGGGGGCTTTATGAATATTATTTAACCAGCTAGAGATCAGCTCCCAATGGATAAGACCAAAGGCACCCCACAGAAAACGCTGATCATGAGAAACGGAATTTTCCCCCAGACCAGTTTTTCATGTCATACACCCACTCCCCTCCTCTGCCAAACTGAAGACTTACGTGTGTATCAGTCCTGAAAAAGTAAGAAGGGGACAAGAAAGGAGGGAACTACAAGTCCTGCGCCCTGACAGAGACTGGACAGGACCAGCCGCAGGGTCTCTGTGCCCATCCTCCCAGTGCCAGCCTCCCTCTGTCTGTCCCTGCCTCAGCCCTCAGACACATGCCCTTGATTCCCACCCTGGAGCCCAGCTCACTGTCCCTCACCAAACCCTCTTACCTGCTTGTTCAACCAAAAGGATTAAGAGCAAGACCACTGCTGGAAACATCTTGGGCAGGGGCTGAGGGGCCGCGAGCTGGGGATCAGACGCTCTGACAGCACCGTGCAGCTGTGCTCTGCGAGCGGCTCCCGAGCGGCTCCCTGACCACAGCGTTGCCCCCTTCCTGCCACGCCTTCCTCTGAGCTCTGGCCCCTTCCCCTTCCTGCACTAGAGACCGGGCGGCTCCCGGAAGGGCCAACCAAGGGAGCTAGGAGATCCGGTCTCCTACGTCTCCGTCCTTCAGTGACCAAGCCCCTGCTACCGTGGAAAGAGGCAACACCCATGCTTGGGAAAGGCTATCTAAACCCGCCATCTCACTCTAGCCCTGTTCAGAGACAGAGCTCTGATAACTTGCCCCTCAAAATTCCCTAAGACCCCATGATAGCCCTTTTCTCTCCCACCTGGAACTCTGTACCCAGTCTTGATTTGAGGAGTTTACCAATTGGTGTGGGCAGCAAGGTTTGGG